GAGGACATCAGTTAAAGTATAATATTGAATCTACATTTAATTCTTTATTACCAGCATCACAGCAAAAAATTCTGATATGTTACGATTTAACGATGGAGTATGAGAAACCCCAGAAGTGATCAACTACAAACTCCAGAAGTGTTCAACTTTTTACTTTCACTTAGGTCTTTTTTTTGTTTGTTTTTCTTTACAGCAGCAGAATGAAGTCTGCTGTTTTACGTGCAATATGACCCAGTGAAAGAAGGTTCAGTCTAACTGCTGATAACTTTGCTTTTTTTGGCAACCAGCGCCTCTTGTCTGAAAACATGAAGGGCTGGTGTGGCACATACATCCCTGCAATTATATGCTTTGCTTTTCTTCATAATTACTAAAGGGAGATTGATTCTAAACGACTACGTTTTAGCTAACAACTTATTTACGTTCTGTTTTAGTTCAGACATTTAGAAAAACAACTCTTTACATGGGGGACAAAAGAAAGCTTTGTTGTAATATTTCAAAAATAGACGTTGACGTTGACTTTCTCAGACCTTATAAGGTATCTTCTGTAACTTTGGGGCACATCTAAGAACCCAGTGAGAGCCATCGATGGGTAAATACTAAGTTTGGCAAAGAAATAAAAATGTGTCACTCTGAAGGTGGTAATAATTCAAATATTCAAACAATGAATATGTCTTAGTTAAGATTGACAACAACAATAATACAAACTATTTAAATGTGTTTTGAAACTATCTGGTAACCAGTGGCTCCTGGTCAGCTGCCGTTGGAGTTTAACTTCTTGCTTCTAATTCAGAGTGAAGGAAACAAGATTGCCGAGCCTTTGTTTGCCGTGCAATGTTCTTCAGACATAACTTTTTTCTTTAACCTTTTTTCTTTTCTTTTTTTTCAGTTCAATGCTCATGAACAGCTCAATGCTGCACTCTTCTGGATGATTTAGTCGAACACAGTTAATACCCACCAGCAGGGGAGAACATTCTATGTCTACAGACATAGATAGATAGATAGATAGATAGATAGATAGATAGATAGATAGATAGATAGATAGATAGATAGATAGATAGATGGAAAAAGCCTACTGTTGCAATTTCTCAGTCTACCACCAGAGGGCTCCCTAACGTAATACAATAACTGATTAGGTCGAAGGTCTTTGGGAGTTGTTTTTTAAATTATTTTTCTAATGTGCATTCCATTTACATATATTTACAATAAATTTACCCAGTACACTAAGAGAATCAGATATTTCACTTGTGATGCAATTCTGAATGTTCTCTTGCGTTTCGACTTTGTAAATTGCCATCACGTTTCAAAGGTTTTCCTTTTACAATGAACGGCTTGTTCACCCCGTGATTATTATATGTCAACGGATATTAACCATGAATAATGTGTACTGGCTTTGAATTTAAACGCCTTCATGCTCGTTTGGGTTATCCGTTCTTGCTGGGGAAACGCTGCCTGGGTTTGATCACAAAGGGCATGTGACTGGACTGGAGCCTGCCTGCAGCCAGACGCCGGTGTTGTGCGAAAAAGTGAATGTTTGCGAGAATCTGATTAAGCTCGCGGGAGCGCGCACCGCAGCCGCTGAGCGATA